GGTGGCAGGACAAAAGGGGACATCACATGGGGAAAACCTGCAGTCCCACCCTTTGTCATGCCCAAGATATGTCTTTTCCATTGGGTCAGAGCAGGCATATCTGCAAGGTAGGTGGGCCTGAGCGGCCTTATTATTATTCAAGTAGGATCTAGAAACTGTGGAGAGATGGCTGGGAAGCAAGAAGAGGGAAGTGGTGTGGAAAAGCAGAAGCCAGAATCACAGCTCCTATGGAGGCCAACTGTGCACTTTGGAGGCCGTCTTGCAAAGGCCTCAGAAAAACCCAAACATAGATGGATCCCAAGATAAACAGCCCCTTATGCTTACACACAGAGAGATCAGCCATCCAACATAGTTGGCTGGGAAAGCTGCAGTGTGTAAGAGAGGATTGCAATGGTGCAAGTAGCAAAGCCTCTGCCTTTTTACTGTGTTCCCTATCCACTGCCCCAACTCAGAGTTGCCAGGAGAAGTGTAGGAGCTAACCACCCCACCTTCCCAGTACTAATCCGTCCAGCTATAGGCCAGCCATCTCTTGGGAATAAGGTAGAAGATGAGGTTTGAGTTGGACTGGATTGAACTTTAACACCTACATGTGCCCAAGAGGTAGTTAAGAGGCAAGAAGGAAAAAATGCAACAGAGCGTGATTAAAAGCAATGGAGGGAGAAAACATTTTCATGCTCCTATGTCACCAGATTCAGACTGTGCAATAAGCCAGTCACACTAGTATCTGGACTGATGAACTCATTGAAATTTCTGGGTCTCCGTGGTTTCATTTGCTCAAAGTTCAGTTTTGACAGTATAATTGAGTTCAAAGACAAAGAATCACCAGTAACAATTATAAAGGAGATGAAGACAAACTTCATTTGGAAAAAAAAAACTGCATCAAATTAAACTAAATAGAATTTGTAGTTTTGTTTCAGCTCATGCCTGTCACACACAATGCCCAGGGAGCAGAAATAATCAAGTCCAAATAGCATTATCAACAGAAGCGGGTAGGGGGGAGGGAGGGAATGAATTTGGTTTATTTAATTGGTGGGGTATAGAAAAAAGAATAAAGCTAATTGGACCTTGTATTCAAAAAATATCTAGTTGGTTAAATGATTTTTCACACTTCAGTTCTCTCAAAAATTCTGATGTATAAGTCACAGGTCACAGTAATACATTTATTCTAACATGGCTGCCTTTCAGAATTTGATGTCCTAAAGTTGAAGAAATTGAAGTCAGATATAATGAGGCTACTTCACACAATGCTTTTCCAAGGTTAAAAGAGGTGTTAACTACTTTACAAATCTTCACCATAGTCCAGCCCCACCACAAGGTAAAAATCAAATGGACATTATTTACTCATTATTAGAGAGATGTCTTTTGTTAGAATCATTAAACCCAAATATTATTTTCTCCAGGTCATTAAATTGGACATTTTCTTATGAATGTTAATAATATACTTAGCTTCCTGCGAGACCTTGTAACTATATTAATTCTTTTACTTTCTTTGCCTTGAGCATTTAGGATCTTGGAGTTAATATCCCTGGAAATTTACGAAGCTTGTCTAAAGAGATGGCCACAGTGATTTAACTTATATGTTAAATAGCAACTAGATTATGGGTAATTCCTCATCCGTCCAGAACTTCTTGAACTTCAAATTGTCACACTTACCGATTTTCTTAAGACAAATCTCTGCTCTTCAGACACTTGAGACAAGTATGTTTCTTCAAAGCAGTTTTAAAGTTCAAATATAGCACATTTCTAACCATCTGCTTCTACAAACCTTCAATGGATACTTCAAACATTAGCCAGTTTTCAGTCTCCTGTAGCTGGAAGCAATGTCTACGTGTCCTTTCCATGAGAAACGGGTATAGCTTCTATCTATTCAGCAATATCTAAGTAATGGAGAGTTGAGACAGGCGTGGAATTGACAAACTATACTGTTTATGGCATAAAAATTATTATTTTCACTTCTTCAAGGTTATAATTCTTTTTCATTTCTTCAGGGTTATCATTGCATTTCATAATTTGCTAATACTCTATTTCACTTTCAAGGATCAGAAAGCGCTTGTGTGACTACCCTTTGAGTATGACTAGCTCTCCAATGCTGTTACGTACAGTACAAACCCAACAATTTCAATTCTTGACAGCACTCTGCCTAGACTCTGCACTGATTTTGCCATTCATTATGCAAATCTCAAATTAATAAGATGGTGTTTTTCCCTGAATGATATATAATTATAGTCTTTCACTAATCTAATTCAATTCAAATTGGTTTCTCCTATAGTAAGTACAAAATAGCTCAGTTTTACTCTCCATGACAAAGAGAGATCCAATCTCTCTTCCTTGTAAGATTAGGCTGACAGGAGCATACTTCGATGGCCTGAGGTTGCAGGGTGAGAAACAGGGCTGTATTTGAGGCAAATTATTTAAAAGCCAAGCAAGGAGTCTTAGGGATCAATGTGAAAAAGCTTGGTGGAGAGCTAAAGGCATCAGGAACACCAAACAAGAATAAGAACGTACCCAGGGGGTTGTTGGAGGCTGAGCCTAGATAAATCTCCAAGTACTGGCAAGCACTTATAGGTCCTTTTTTATATAGGACCATGGCATTAATAGAACATTTAGAGGCCTCACCAAAACATGTTCACATTCTTTTTAAAGATGAGGCTCAAAAGTACAAGGTAAATCTTGGCCTCGATTTTCTGGAGATTACTCTAACCTTAATATCTTTGGAGTTAACTTTTCTCATTTCAGAAGTTTCTCTGCTGTTATAGACTGAATTTTGTCCCCTCCCTCCCCTCCAAAAAAAATCCATATATTCAAGTCCTAACACCCAATGTGACTGTATTTGGAGAGAGGGTCTTTAAAACGGTAATTGGGGTTAAGTAAGGTTATAAAGGTGAGGCCTTAATTCAATATGATGGGGGTCCTCATAAGAAGAGGAAGAGACACGGGAATATATGCAAAAAGTGCTGGGGTCCTCCCCCAGCAGGTCCAGGGGTTCCCAAAGGTGTCGGCGAAGAATGAATGACACGGAGACAGCGTTCAGTTGATCAGCATATCGAGGTTCTTCCTTTATTGTCCTGTTACATCTGTATTTATACCATTTGATCCTATAAGCATGCCTCTATAATGACATCATGGTATGTTTTGGGTAACCTTCTACAGTCCCTTGTTTCATTTCCATCGTTTCTTATCTGACCTTTACCAAAAATCCTGTCTCGATCTAGTTCTGTTGAGTTTAATCCTGTCTAGGTTCATCTGTGTTCCATTATAAGGGCTATTCCAAGGTCCTTGATAAGCTACAAGGAAGTGACTGAAGGAGATTATCCTACCCAGAGTAAAGGTTATGTCCTCCCAGCCTCGCTGCTTGCCTTCCCTGGGACTGCCCTGTGCTGGTGGATCTCCAGGGGTATAGGCTTTGGTGCTTTCCCTGGTGGGCAGACCCCTGGGGATGTGGGCCCCAACAAGGCCCAAGTTTATTGCCAACAGTCTTAGTCCAAGTTCTTCATAAGTAGTACATGGTATTTCTGTAACACTAGGGGTTTCACCGATTTATTCTCTTCCTTAGTCCTGTTAATCCCTAACTCCAGGGAAAAATCCTCACCTCGGGAAACAACCTTTCTCAGGGAGGTGGTCCTGTTTAAAACACATAGCGCTAAGAGGGGGAGCAAACGTATGCCATATACGCCAGGTCCCTTGAAACATAAGCTGTGCAGATGTTTCTTCCATGCAGTGACTGTGTCAAGCAGCAAGGGTGGACCGGCTTCCGGCAAATTCCCCCAGTTTTATTTTTTAAATGACAGCAGGTGTAAATCAGCGGCCACCTCTCGGATTGGGTTGTTTAAGACTTGGAAGACCTGTTTGTGACTTTGCCAACAGGTCAGTCCAAGGCTTAACCCTATATCGGCTCCCCACAAAAAAGAGAAAAGGCCATGTGAGAACACAGTGAGAAGGCAATCACCTGCAAGCAAAAAAGAGAGGCCTCAGAAGAAACCAAATCTACCAACACCTTGATGTTGGACTTCCGTCCTCCAGAACCGGGAGAAAGTAAAGTTCTGTTGTTTAAGCCTTTCGTTATGTGATACCTCAGAGATATTGCTCATTAGGTTCCAGACCACCTCAATAAAGCAAGTATCACATTCAAGTGAGCCATAATCTTTTTGTTGGCATAGGGTCTTGCCTTCAATTTGTGAAATGCAAATCATCTGTTAAATACAATAAAGCAATGTGAAATATAATGAGATAAGCCCGTAATTTGTTATGGTAGCCCTAAAAACTAAGCTATCTGGCGTATCATAGATATATCAATTTCATAGATCCTAATAAAAACATGCAAGTATTTTTACTTACCATTGTGGCATCTAATTTAACAAATGTTAGTCCATTCGCAAGAGACTAGAGTTCCTGTAAGGGTTTTTTATTGTATAGCAAAGAGTATCATAATTATTTTTATTGTTTCTACATTCTGTGTAACCACTTGTACTGCTGTAAGATTTAGTATGCAAACTAATGAGTAGGTTATTTTCACCAATTCACCACTGGGGTTTAGCCTAGCTCCTCGAGCTTCCATTCTTGAGCCATATCTATTCTTTTTGTATCTTTTTTTGTTTTGTTTTTGTTTTAGTTTTACTGTCATTTTCTTCTACTCTCTCATTCATTAACTCATTCTACTGGTATTTATTGAGCACCTATTAATGTTCCAGGCACTGTATTAGATACTAGGTATAGATACTTTCCTACCTACATGGAATATATAGCCCAGTGGGCAGTACAGAAGAGGAGAACTAACATAAATATATAACTTACTAATGTGCTGTGAAGAAAATGCATAAGGTGCAGTGAAAGAGAGTAACGAGAGGTGTGGGGTGTTAGGCAAATGGTTTCTAGTGCTTGGCATGACCAACGCCATCTAAAGAAGCAAGTTGTTCTCAGTTGTTGAGGTCCAACGACTTTTTTTATTTTTTAAATGATTTTTTTTTTAATTCCTATTATGAACTGGTTTGCTCAAGCAACTACAACACTTGCTAGCAGACATACGGTAAAAAATGGCCTGGCTCAGAATCGCCCAGATCTCTCACGATCTCTTGACCGCCTCCTGTCACGCTCCCGTCCCCCACCGCCTCCACCACCGCCTCCGCCACGACCACGGTCTCTAGACCGAGAGCGACGCTCCCGGGACCTGGACCTCGATCGATGCCTCTTGCGCCGGCGCCCATACAGCTCCCGCCGCAGCTCTCTGGAAATGGGCTTCAGATGCATGAAGTTGCAGAAGCCGCCTCGTGTACACTCTCCCATTTCATACTGGCGGCAACAGGCTTCCCGGAAGTCGGTCACGGGGGAAAGCTCGGCGTAGATGGGCTGCCCGTTGAACCAGCGGTTGTTCAAATCCATCACAGCTTTCTCCGCATCTTCTTCACGGCGAAACTTCACATACACGTTTCCAACGAGGTGATCTCCGAGGTTATCACAGACATTCATCTCCTGCACCTCGCCGTACTTCTCCTCCATTTCTGTGAAAACCTCCTCAAAAAACTCATCATAGTGCTCCTGCACCTCGACATCGCTCACAGCACAGCGCAAACCGTCAGCAGACTGGGAAGAGTTTTGAGGGTTACGGTAAACGTTCAAGAGGGCAATGGTCTGGCTAAAGGTGGGTTTATTGTGCAACCGAGAGCATCTGTCTCCATGACGACATGCTCCAATTTTGAAATAAAATGAACAGTTGACTTTGTCCTTCTCGGTGCCGAAGATGGAGGCCAAATACTCCGCCATTTCCTGTCAGCCGGGCCAGTTGTTGGGGTCCTGCCCCAGCAGGTCCAGAGGTTCCCAAAGGTGTGGACGGAGTCCACGAAGAAGAAAAGACACTGAGACAGCGTTCAGTTGATCAGCAGCCTAGCCAGGTTCTGGTTCTGTTCTTTATTCTCCTATTACATCTGTATTTATACCAGTTGATTTTAATCCTATCCATTCTATTCCAAAGGTTAGGGCGTTTGTTAGCTTAAGCGTGATTGTTCGTAGTTAAAGTGATTTACTACCCGTCTGGCACTTAGTTAAGGGGTTTTACTGATTTATTCCCTTCCTTAGTCCTGTTAATCCCTAACTCCAGGGAAAAATCCCCACCTGGGGAAACAACCTTTCTCAGAGAGGTGACCTTGGTTTAAAACACATAGCGCTAAATAGGGGAGCAAACATATTAAGAACAGTATGCCATATACGCCAGGTCCCTTGAAACATATGCTGTGCAGATGTTTCTTCCCTGCAGCGACTGTGTCAAGGAGCAAGGATGGACCGGCTTCCGGCACTCAGTGACTTCCAGTTCACTTCGGAAGGGCATGCAGGAGGCAGCCAATCAGTGATTCTCTCTCATCAATGATGCTTCTAATCTTCTCTTCCTCTCCCTTCCTCTCTCTGAAATCAATGCATACCCTCTACTGGGAATCAATCCGCAACCCAGGACTTCCTGGGAATTGAACCATGACCTCCTGGTTCATGGGTTGATGCTCAACCACTGAGCAACACCAGCTGGGCAATAAAATATATTTTTGAAAAAAAAGAAAGACTCTGTTGTGGATAAGAAAAAAGAATAATTTACTGATGGTGAGATGGATCTGTCAGCTAATATAGGCCACATTGGGAAGTTTTTATCCTTAAAATATCAAAATGTTTTTAACAGCAAAATAGTCTGATCCAAGTTATTTTTTTTTTAAATAAGTATTTAAAAGTCTTGAGAAGATTGTCACGGGGCAAGAGATGAGATTGAGAGACCCAAAACAAGACTCTATTATTGTCTAAGCCAAAGGCCATTGTGGATGAAATGAGTGTAGAGAAATGGAATGGGAAGAAAGGAAACTGGCATGTCCAAGAAACCGTGGGTCATTTATTTAACAATGTGTACATCTTGCTGGTCTGATGGGAGTCCTATGGCATATGGGTAGCTGCCGTACTTTGCGTTTTGGCAATAGTCAGGCATACCCAGAGGTTCTAGGATTCAGGTGGCTAAAATAGAGGCCCCAAAGCGATGCAAAAGAGACACATACAAGGTGGAGGAAATGGTAGCATCCTGGCGAGCACGTTTAAGAAGAAATTCTAAATGACAGTGAGTTTAGCACATGAATACTGACACACCAATAAGAAAAATCTGTTTGTCTCCATGAACACAGGCAAAAAATAATAACGACCTGTGTTTCCAGAGAAGCCAGGCTTCTTTGGTATTTATCAGGCTTAGGCAGGAGAATGCCTTTCCTTTATGTGGACTTTCGGAATGCTGCTGGGGATGAGAGTTTTAAATGTGAAGGGATATGCAACTTCTATTTGATCTCCGACTTTGATTTTGAAAAGTAAAAATGTTAGGGTTCCTTTTCCACATCGAAATGTCTCACCACATGAGGTGTATCTGAGCATCAAAGGGTCTGAGAAAAGAAGGTGAAGATCACCCAAACGGAAGGGGTCCGTGAAGACACTCACGTCAGAGGATTCAGTGTGCGGGTCTGCCAGCTTAGCTGCCTCTGATGAATTTTTTGAGAAAAGAATCCAGCCCTCCAGCCTATTTCAGAAACCCGTGGGTAAGAGGCTCGTTAGCGCTGCGCTATGTTTCTGGTGTGTTTTAAATAAGCCAGGATTCTACGTGCTGTGTGCACAGCGCTTTCAAAAACACAGAGAAGATTTGTGTTTGCCTTAAAAGGCTAAGGTACAGGTAATTTGTCAGAAGACCTGCTTCCTAGAGAAAGGATGCGTGCAAATGGCATGAAGGGGAGTGAGATTGGAGGGCTTTACCCAAGCCAGGCAGCACATTATCTGACATAGAAGCTATTCCATTCCCAGCAGTAGGTATAACAACAGAAAAAGGAGCCCAACATGTAATTACTGGGGGGAAAAGGAAAGAAGAAGAATCATAATTTCTGAAAAAAGCAGTCTTTTGGTAGAAATTCTGGAGTATTCTACTAGACTTCCTCACTTAAATCGTATTACTTAAAGAAATACTCTGGCGCCTGGCCTGTGGAGCTCAAGGGTTGACCATCGACCCATGAGCCAGGAGGTCGCTGGTTGGGGCGCATGCCCAGGTTGCAGGCTCAATCCCTCAGCTCTCCAGTGGGGGGAGGGGGGTGCGGGAGAGGACCAAGTGTTGTTTCTCATCGATTGTTTTTCTCTCTCTATCCCTTTCTCTTCCACTCTCTCTAAAATCAATAAAAATGTTGTTTTTAAAGAAAGAAATACTCTGGCAATTTTTACTAAAGCTTTAGAAGATATGCAAAGGCACCAGTGTGTGAACATGGGAAGATTCTGCTGCCAACAATATTTGTGTTGTCTTGTTACCTAGCCTCTCTGCTGCAAGGACCTCGGTTGTTTTGCAAGAACCTTTGTTGAACTGTTTTGGGAACAGACTGACCTGCCAGCTACAATTAACAACCGCAAACGGTTGTAAACCACGTACAGTCCTCTCCGCAGGTTCCAAACTCCAAGCGTAAAGAAAAGACAACCCCTTCGCCTTCATTGGCAAAGGCAGTGCTGTGGACGAGGCCCTTTTACCCAGGAACCAGACCATCTCGTCTTGCCAGTGGGATGACTGGCGTGACCCTCTCGGAGCCACACCTTCCATTTCTACAAAGGGAAGGAGTTGGAATAAATGACCTCTAACCTCACTGCTTTCTGTTCTAATGTGGAGCCTCTGAGTCACAGTAATGGACTGGAAGCTTCACGCTGAGAAGCCAAAGATCATAGAGAGCGCCGCTGAGGAAGGTCATGGGAGACATGGGCAGATTTGGAGGCTTTGTGTCTCCCTGGATGGGAGCGCCACCTGCGGAGGCTCCCGGTTGCAATGCTGAGCTTCCACCTGCAAATCTAACCTCTTACACCCTCGGAGCTCCAGCCATCGCGAAGGGAGCCTGTGTGTGCACATCAAAGCTGGAGCAACCGGTGCTGCAGAAACCCCAGCCTGGAGCCAAAAGCAAAATCGTGGCTTTCATTTGAAACCTGCCTTCTGAGCAGACTAAATTTGTGTTTAGAAGGAATAAAATGCCCCGGTTTTATCGCCTGCCTGAAAATACTTACATTTCGCCTCCTAGGCAAAAATAGAATTAGAAAGCATGATTTTAGTGAATTAACTCTCTCAAAAGAATGGTCTCAAAGGACAAAAGAATTTCTCTTGGTCTCCCAGTGTTTCTGGTTTCACGGTGTGGCTTGTCTCGTTTTGTTGGTGGAGGAAAACAGGCTCTTCCAGGGGATCCCTAGGAAAGAATCCTGAGGATCCATCCAGGGGAGACTTGTTCAGGAAGTCTGCCCCTCCTCTGGGTTTCCAGCGTCCCATCTACCGCCATGGGAACTGTCCAGCCATGTCTTCAGCAGGGCCAGAATGAAAGCCAATGTCCAGAGCGTTGGCTTCATAGCCCTTTGGAGCCCGGATGGCCTTCTGCGGGCCCCAGGCAGCCACCAGGCCTGCATGGTCATGTGTTGCCAGGCGAGAGAGAAAACGTGCAAACACATGGGGCAGGTGCAGGTGAGAGAGAGAGAGAGACCTCTTTGCTTCTTGTATTGTAACCAGGAATTTTTTTTTCAAAATAACCAAGAATCTTCCCAAGTTTTTGTGGACTTGTATTGGGTCCACCCCCCTAGCCAATGACCTTTTCCCCAGGTTAGACTGACAGTTTTCTATGCTGAAGTACCTTCCCCTGCACCATTTTTACTTCATTACCCATGTGCCTATCTCCTCCCTGCTACACACACACACACACACACACACACACACACACACAATCCTTTACCAGAGTGGGGAGGGGATGGGGAACAGGGAGGGGTATTAATCCCCTTGGAGAGACCCTGGGTGTGATTCCTTGGGTGTGAAGCAAACAGGCTGGGTGTCCCCAGCTGACCATGCTTAACAATTTCTGACTTGCCTTGCTTTCTTCCTTTTCATAACTAGCTAACCACGGTAAAAATTTCATGATAATAATCTGGAATGCAATGCAACAGAAGAGGGTGCAGAACCGTTTTTAAATCATTGTTGTGTTTGTTTTCACCAAGTGGCATTTACAGAATTAGTAGCACCCCGGCCCAGAGCTTTGCAAACCTCAGTCAAGAAATCATTTCAATTGCCTTTTCCCTTTTTGATAAAAATTAATTTGATGATAAGCCAGATATCATCAGCATGCGAGATGCTCAGTATATAGAATATAATATGAGAAGCCAAAGCAGAAAATTAATAGCTTTTCAGAGTTTTCTGGGGTAGGATGCAATGTTTAAACTGATAGTGGGAAATAAAGAACATATATCATGGAATAAGGTTATGCTAAAAGGTGTTTCTAGTTTATCTGAATATCTAAAAGAGGCTATTTTCTATCCACTGCCTTTTAAATGCCCCGAATGGTTTCCTTTGAGTGCAGCAACAATAACAACTACCATTTGAAAGGTTAAAGTCCGTGGTGGGGAGTGGGGGGTGGGGGGATTGAGGCAGGCTAAATAGCCATCTCAGGCAGTGAATAAAGAAAAGTTGAATTTATTTAAGGAAAATGGGATGAGAGATGGGGATATCCAAAAGGAAGGGCTACACAACACTGAGCCAAATGGTTTGGGGTCCATGATGGCAGCAAAAATATACTTAGGACAGTGAAACAAGGGAGGGCATCGAAGAAGCAACAGGAAAGCCCAGGCTAGGCTGCTTTGGCTCAAAGGGGGCCTTGGAGACACGCTCAGGGAGTTATCCTGGACGAGCTGCCGCTGCCCATTGCTTCCCTGGTTGCAAGCCTCATGGGGTCTCTTAGAGGTTGAGGATATGTTCATGTTGGG